CCATTGAGCCCCCCGCACCCAGATTGCCCAACACAGAAACCTCTCACCCCACACCTGGATCCCCCCCAAACTAAGCCCCTCCACACTTGGATCCTGGTGGGCTGGCCCTGCCTACCCACACCTGCTGCATCTGGCGCATAGGGGCAGGGCCCTGGGATGCTTCTGGGGCAGGCCCGGACCTTGTGCTGTGTCAGGGTCAGGTGCAGCCTCACTGCCGAGTCCCTGTACTGAGGGAGGTGGGGGCTTCAGGGTGATCTCCCACCTCAATGCAGCCAGTGGTCTGTGCTCCCCACTGCTGTGCTGGAGCCCCATTTATTTACTGACAAATAAAATTTGCAGAATTTTAAAATACTGTGCACATAATCTTTAATATTTTGGCGCAGAATTCCCTCAGGAGTAACAGAAGCAGACAGGTTGGTGTGAAAATCTCTCACCTTAAACATCTAGGGACTTATTTCCTGTTACACACAAAATTGCCAGAGGGGCTCGATTGAGAACTGTAGTGTCATTGCTATTTCCTTAAAAACCTTCTTCCAAAACCATTGCCCAACAATCCAATCCCGCAGAAGATGAGTCTATGTGCTTAAAACATCCATTTCACAGAGTGAGTTTATGATTCAGGTCAGCTGGCACGTACACATTATTTCAATAAATAAATAAATAATAATAATGCATTACACATATCTGTCTATTTATATATCCCTTTAGGTTTTAAGAAAGTTGCCCATCTTAGTGGCACCTGCTTGGCTCTTTAAAGACATATTAGAAAACAAAGAATGAAATCTTGGCCCCAGCTCATAACAGTATCATAATGTATACTCGCAAAGGGGCTGACTAAAAATTGCCCAGACAGTCTTAATTCTGGAATTTCCTAATTTCTGAGTGCTTGACTTTGCAACTTCAACATTCTTGTAATGCAGTGTTTTGTATGTAATACTATCTAGTCTGGTTAATAAATGATCTAAAGGCATAGATGGTCTCCTGAGGCTGTATTTCTGTGCCCCATCCAAAGCAAACTGGCACATTCAAAGAGCAATGTCCAATCCACACTATAGTGGAAAATGTAATCTCTCTATTAGTGCAGGTCATAACCACACACCCCCACACACAAGGAAGGAACTGGGAAGTTCCGAGTTGGGTTTTAATTGTGCATGTGACATCAGAAAATTGAGCAATTAAATTAACATTATTCTGAACATTACTGATTCTCCTGAAAGAGATGACCCAGATTCAAAATGCCTCATTGCTCATAAGACTTGGAACAATTATTTCGTCTACCTTCAATTTCCTGAGTACCTTCTAAAATTAGGATGTTGGGGCAATTGGGAGATGTTTCTGTTTGAATAATGTCAGTCTGTGGGTTGCAGTTTTTAAGGTGAACTTTTTCTCTCCTCACTCTTCCACTGTTAAAAGCCCAGAATGTCAATTCCAAACCCGAATGCACAACACACGTGCACACAAATGATGTAAGCAATGAAACTAACACACTCTTTAATCCCTCTACTTCACTTTAATTTTTAAAAACTTCTGATCTCCCAGCATAACCCAAAAGGGACACACAATCTAGGCATGCACTCTGTTCTACTGTTGCTTCTCATAAGTCACTTTTATCGATAATAGCAGATTAATTATAATTGCGAGTTTAACAAATCCCCATCACAAGGGTTTACCTACCCCTGCAGAGGCAGAATGCATTGAAATGATATGGAGAAAGCCTACTATTCTACTAGATGAGCATGCATAACAGGCCTACACTAGCCTTGCTTTTTTAAACTGTAAATATTCTAGCATGCTCAGTTTAAGGCTTGTTGGGGCCTGAGCCACAAAATCTTTCATCAAAACGTGTGTGTCTCTGTGAGATCACAATGTGCAGGCACCACATGGTCTCAGTTAGTTAAGTTCATTCTTGCAGTGCTGCCAACCCCAAGAGTTCCAAATCATGAGAATTGCCTTAAAATCATGAGATTAAAAAACACATTAGGGGTTCTCTTATTAGCCTTCTGGCTTCTGAGCCATTAGGGTGCATGTTTTCAAGCTTTTCTCCACAACCACAAGGGTTAGAAATTCAATGGAGCTATGACGTGTGCTCCTCACCTTTAAAATGTAAGCTCAGATTCTAATGCAATCGTATGACTCTGGGAGCTGGGGATTTAAGAAAAATACCAAATATGATGAGACCTGTGATAACAATTCCAAGAGTCATAAGATTTATTTTGGGGGCTGGAGGCTGATCTTGAGGGACAGGGGGTCTGGAGAATCATAGAATTGTAGAACTGGAAGGGACCTCGCGAGGTCATCTAGTCCAGTCCCCTGCACTTGTGGCAGGACTAACTATTAGTACTACTATTAGTATTAGTATTAGGAAGGGGAAGGACCGGCTTTGCCTAATTCTCAGCCTACACAGTCACTGGTTTTGGAAAACCAAACTGTTCTTTTTTTTGTTGATGGTCTGTTTAAGAGAGAACATGAGAATCAGAGCAGAGCAGGGCCGGCTCTGGCTTTTTTGCCGCCCTAGGCCTCTGGCCGCCCCCCCTCTGGCCAGAGCGCCGGGGGCAGGGCTGCGAGCCCCAGCGGGGGCTCGGCTCTCCCCCTGGCGGCCAGAGCGCAGGGCGGCCGGGGCAAGGGCGGGGGGGGGCGGCCAGAGCGCCGGGGGGGAGGGCGGCGAGCCCGGCTGTGGCCCCGCTCTCCCCGGCGGCCGGAGCGCCGTGCCGCCCCCCTCCAGGTGCCGCCCCAAGCACCAGCATGGGTGCCTGGTGCCTGGAGCCGGCCCTGGAGCAGAGAAAGAAACAGACTAGGCAAAAGGACATATCCTAATCAAAACTAAATACAGTCTACTAGTGCACACAGGACACCTGCTTGCATCAGTGTCATTCCTCTTTATCTAAAAGAGGATTTAAAAAACAAAAACCCTCTACACTTCCCTTGTAAAAAAAAGCATGGCTTTAAATTACAGGAGAAGAGGTTTGGGAATTTGAAGAAATTTTGCAAACCCATGAAACAGTTCTAGTCCCCCTGGGCCCACTCATCATCAGCTTGGAGTGTACAGCATGCACAATGCTAGCAATTTACTCTTCACTGTTTATGCTGCTTGTTTACGTCCCCTGTTCTCTCATTCACTGAGACAATCAACAAAGTCAGTTTCATTTTTGTTCATTTCACCTCTGCAATGATGGGATTGCAAACACTGCATGGAAAGGTTTACTCTCAGACATGCGAAGTGTCACACACCTTGTACGACACACACATTTGGTAGCCCTGTTACATGTGTGCCACATCTCAGGTACAATGTTACAATGTGAAGACAGAGACCAAGCTCCACACCACTCACATCCTCTTTTGCCCAGGGGAAGGCGCACTGGTCTAAGAGCCAGGAGATCATGGCAAATACGTCTGATTCTCCCATTTTACTGAGAGGTTGTACACAGTTACTTCCGGAAGAACTGAGAACAGAACCAAGGTCTTTACAATAGTAGTACCAAGTCCCCAGTGCCTTTCAGAATGAATGTCTACTTAGCTATGCTATGTGTCACTAATACTTGTTCTGTTGTAGAGTCAGAGATTGCGATACATTTCACAAATAGCTGTATTACCCACTACCAAGTGTGTGTGTCTCTAGAAGTTGGTCATCATAGAGGCCAATATCGCTTTTCTGCTCCTGCTTAATCATTAGCTCATGCTCAAAAAATCTGTAATGTGGAGCTGAAGAAACTCGGTTTGAACCCTGCTAATGATCCATGCTGAGAAAAACAGTAGGTGATCATGCAATTACAGCATGATCCTACAGCACAAAGGGGTAGGTTTAAGGTTGCAAAGGCATTTCTTATTACATGATAGGAGGGGCTGCTGATAGCCCCACCTATTATTAAGGTTGCCTGACACTTCCCATACTAAGACCTTTTTTCAGCTTCAACTTTACCAGAGATTAACCATTTGAGCTGAATTTTTCTATGCTGGGTGTCTGCCTCATGCTGATTTTTTGTGTGTGGAAAATTCTAGACAAAATGGTTCAGTCTTTACTAAGAATGCAGCAAGAGAGAAATACTTTGTTTTGCCCATGTTAAAAAATTGTGGAAGGCTTTTTTTGGACCTGCCAGTATATTGAAAAATCAGTTATTTGCATAGCTCTAATCATAATGCATACACACAAGGAGGACAAATGAAAATTGTACAGGAAACCTTAATTCTAGGATTTCCTATGGTTTGCATGCTTGACTTTGCAACCTTAATATTTTCTTTTAATATAGTTTTTTATATGCAATATTTATATATTATTATATATACACACCTCTACCCCGATATAACACAACCCAATATAACATGAATTCGGATATAAAGCGGTAAAGCAGCGCTCCGGGAGGGGGGGCGGGAGGCGGGGCTGTGCGCTCTGGCGGATCAAAGCAAGTTCGTTATAACGCAGTTTCACCTATAACGCGGTAAGATTTTTTTGGCTCCCGAGGACAGCGTTATATCAGGGTAGAGGTGTAATTACATAAAGAAAACTATGTTAAAAGAGCATTAAGTTTACAAAGTCATATGCATCCGAAGAAGTGGGTTGTATCCCACGAAAGCTTATGCTATAATAAATTTGTTAGTCTCTAAGGTGCCACAAGTACTCCTGTTCTTTTTGCGGATACAGACTAACACGGCTGCTACTCTGAAACCTTTACAAAGTCAAGCATTCAAAAGTTAAATGAAACATCTGGTTCCCACCATGCTCTATTCAGCACACCTCAATATGGATTAAAAGGTGTTCCCATGTAATGGATGCCTATATGAGATGAATTTGGTATGTCTCAGCTCCAGTTCCCATGCCACAAGCTACTGTGTATTTGTTTTAATACAATTTTTTTTCACTGGAACTTTTAAAAAAAGAGTAAATATTTCTATTTTGCTTATCTTCTGTAAAAGCTTGTTTTGACCAAATCAAAATTTTGGAGCTAATTTGAGTCAACAGTGTGCTTTTACATCACATGTCAAATAATTTCTTTAGGAGGAGACCCTTACCTTTCCACATGATCAACATTGCCTGCCACACCAACACCTCCAATGGTATAAATTTTCCCATCGTACACCAGGCTGTTGTGCCGACACCTTGGGACTGTCATTCGGGATACGAGATTCCAGTTATCAAGTAAGGACATGTAACACCAGACATCAGACAGCGTGACACCAGACTCCATGCCACCTGCCAACAAGGCATGGGTGAGAAAAGGAGAGAATTAAGTGAGAACTTGGATGCAGGTAGTTCACTGTATGTTGCAATCAAAGCCAGTTACTAAGTAAAAGCTCTTCAAATGACATTTGAGTAATTAAAATAAATCACCCTCAATAGGGAGCATCTGTTCCTATGAAGCAGATCTGTGTCATTGCGTCTTTGCATCTCAAAGGTTTGTTTTTTTAAGATGAGATGAGGATATCAAGATGTCAGACGGACATGTGCATTAAGGAATATACACATCCAACAATAAATAACTTCCAACCTATTAAATTACCACACACTTGTAAGAAGGTGTCATGTGGCAGAGACTGACTGGCTTGCTAGACACTGTCCACTCTGAAATCCAGAATGCTTAATTCAGTTAAGTGACAAAGAATGGAAACAACATGTTTTGTACACGTATAAAGTAGAATTAGGGGATTTTAAGGTTTAACTCCTAATTTTCAGGCATCACTTCCATGTTTAGTTTGGTTTTCTGTTACAGTGCAGAGCCAGTGTTATAGGCACTGCCAAAGAATTTAAAATGATCAAGCAGTATACTAATACTGGATATTTCTGTAGCTCTTTCTAACTGAAGGTCCCAAAGCATTTCACTTTCCAACACCTCATAAAGTGGGTAAGTATTATTATTCTTTTTTACAGAATAGGAAACTGAGGTACAGAAAGGCAAAGTGATTTATCTAAGACCACACCAGGAGTCAGTGATTGAGCCAGGAACAGAACACAGAGTCTCAGTTCTATGCCTTAATGACAAAACCATGCTTCTTCCTCAGTAATGTTTTACCAAAGGATATTTCATTAAACCTCCTGTGTTATCCACTGTGGAACACAGCAGTTTCAGGTGTTTTATTTTATTTTACTTTTATATTTGCTTTGTGTTTCACATCTGAGCAAAGCAAAAAACCCAGTGATACTCAGCAAGTTTTGTACTGAAACCGTGTGAGGCTCCTGACTTTTACATAGTTTCCACCCAGTACCATAAACGGGCCCAGATTCACCAGGTTCACAAGAAAGGGATCTAATAAACTTTGGGGGGTTGGGTTTCATTATTAATCTTTTGCACACCTCTGGTTATTACACAGTCTGCAATGTGGATTCCTAATACGATTCTTAATAGAAACTAGGTTAACAAAATGGCCAGCATTGCACAAAGACCTCCACTGGGGAACTTAACACCGGTAGGAAAACAAAGAGATTTGGCTAAATTGGTAGCAATAATTTTTATTCAGCTCCTGGGGTTCTAACATCTTTCTAGTCAGCATAAGGAGAAGTGATGGGGGAATTCAAAACCACGCAAACCACTCCTTGCCTGAGATTCTTTCGATTCTCAGACATAATCAAACTTACACCCAGGGACCACTAGGGGGATCCTTACAATTACCTACTGGAAGTTGCTTTTTTCCCCAATCCAAGGAAATGTACCATATGATTGAATACAAACAGACGCCTTTATACTTCAAGCACAAATTGTAGTCGGCAACTCTTTTAGATAAACCCTTTTCAGGAGTGTGGCTTCCGGAGCATTGAACCTAACAAGATTATAGGGCTACAGTCTTCTATCAAAAGAAAGATTTCAACAACACTCTTGGAAACAAATATTTTAAGTGTAGGTCACATATTCAGCAGCTCAGTCAATCTTGAATGCAGCAACCCACCATTTAGACCCAACTTCAGCCACTGTTTTAAACTATGTTACTACAACCTGGAAACCTCTTTCACAGGTTTGATGGTTGTTGAACCTATTCTCTATATAACTGCAAAATGTGCTGTTGAGTGCTCTGGGACGAAATTGGAGCTTAAGTGAAATGGAGAGTGATAAAAGCATATTTGTTTGTTTTTTCCTTTCCCCGAGGGGTGGTTGAATAAAACTGGCAACCGTTCCTCCCTGCTTACACTGTACAATACAGATTGCGAGGAGCCAGTGCTTTTCTGCTCCCAATGTGTATGCTACTTACCTGAAAGATAGATGTTGTCTCCAGCGCTGACTACACTGAAAAACTCCCGATCGTAGAAAGGCAGGCTGGCCAACGGGTACCATTTATTGTTTTGAGGATTTAAACAAGTGACCGCCGTTAAAGCTCGTTGGTTCATGCCAATCATCTGACGACCTCCCACTAGGACTATTACCTCGGCCACACCTAGGATGCAATTAACCAAAATACATTCTAAGAAAGCGTCATCTCTCACCGGGGAGGTAAGCTATCTAAAAGCACTTTGCAGTCAATCCAGTTCTCTATCCCCATTAAAAATACCCTTAGAAAAACAAATCTTTTTTTGGTCTCTAATAGTCTGCAGCTAGCCTATCATTTATAATTTGGTTCCTTGAATATTGTTGCAGCTTATTAAAGGCTCATCTATGAAAAATATTGTAGGCTGAATGATAAAACAGGAGGCGGGTGGGGAGAAGGTGAAAAGGACATGGTGATAATGGTGAGTGAGGAGATACAATTTAAACATAGCAGGATTTAATAAGGAAGGTTGGAACCAGTTGTATTTGGATACAACCCCACCCCCACTCAATAGGGAAAGATAATATAAAGGCCTCTATATCAAAAGATGGACAATGACTTCAATGGGATCAGGATTTGATCTTAAGCATCTAAACTGCCATCTGGCTTTGTCCTTGATTAATGTATCCTCACACCAAAGACTGATGTATTGAAAACTTTTAGGCTTTATCTCTCTTGGCTGCATTTCTTCAACATTTAAGTTTGTTTTCCATCCACTCCTTCAAAGGGGCTCCTTTTCAAAATACTCTTGTGTGGTTATGTAACACTACAGACCCTGGTCATCGGTGGGTGGGATCGAACCTTAAACCTCTGGAACTTAGTGCAGGAGCCTTTACCGCATGAGCTAAAAGCCAGTGGCTTCTTATCTAAGGCTACAGAGCAGACTCATAATCTCTCTCTTTAAGTGGTCTCGGTGCCACTAGATGGGACAGAACACCACACCAGAGGTGTATGGGTTACATTATCCCAAACAAACTTTGCCTAGTTATTAATTATTATTGTTATATGTGCATTATGGTTGTGCGCAGGAACCTCAGTCCTGGATCAGGTCCCCACTGTGGTAGGTGCTGTACAAACACACAGTGAAGAGGCAGTCCATTCCTTAAAGAGCTTGTTGATTTAGATTTACCTGCGCAGACGGAGATTTCTAAAACCTTTAATCTTAGGTGTACAGTGGGCCAATTTCCCTGCTAGTGTGAATGGGTGATACACCACTGTAGTTACTGGGGCCCATCTACTGAGGTTTTAACTCACAGTTTACTCAGTGCCTGGACTGAGGTAAATCTGAGCAAGACTCTCAGGATCTGCCCCTATACCGGATCCCTATGGTACATCACATTTTAACTGCTTGACACCCTCTGGCCTGAAACACTCACTGTCAAGTGCTTGAGATATTTTGGATTTAGTGCTCAGTGTAACAGCAGAAACAGCAGGCCCTGGTACAAAGAACTATTCACCAGGATATTGGATTGTTGTCCTCCATCATCTGGATTTTTGCGTTTTTATATTGAAGTGTTCTTCAAACAAGTTTACTCTCTTATTAAGATATGAACCTAAAATACTATACAGTTTTAAACAAATATTTCTTAGTAATAAGAGATCATTATTTTTAGTACATACCAGAAAATGTAATCTGATGTGCTAAAGATAATGTGCTGATAATAAATGACCTTGAGAGGGCATCTCACACCCTGCAGCAGACCCACAAAGGGTGTTTGGAGATCCTTTGTGCATCCATAAATGTAGACAATATGCAAAATAAATGGTTCTATATAATTAGACTCTGACCTAAAAAAATATAATCACCCTCTCTTATCCCAAAAGAATTACTTTCCCCTCATCAATAAGCTTCTGTAAAAGGTTTGCATTACATCTATAATTTTATATACAAAGATAAAATAAGCATTTTTCAAAAATCTTCAAACATCACACCATTAGCCGTCTTCAGCAAAAGACTTTAGTGTGAATTGTTATTGAAAGTCATCTATGTTTCCTCCTTCTGAAAAGTGCTTTGATTAGGCAGTCTCCACAAGCTGCAAATGATGAGGCTTGATATACAATACATATACCGTACTAGCTTCAATAGCCATGTACATCAGGCAGTCTGCTTAGCCTTGTCATTGTACTTGCTCGGAAGAAGCAACAAGCAAAACACACAGGAAAGTTTCACCTATTTCTTCCACATCTGATTCTTATTTGTTGCAGTTGTTTGATACATACTATTTGTACTAACTTCCAGAGTAACAAGTATTTAGAAATTTTCTAACACTACCTTGAAACAGATTGATTTATTACACTGGAGAATTGCTTCTTCTTTATTTTTGCTAGACAAAAAACACATGTATGCCCCATGTGGAAAGCTTCTTGAAGCAACGCTTTCTTCATAGATTGTGTGTGTGTGTGTGTTTTAAACGTAATATATCTGTGTGATCCTTTTGATTTGAATGCGACAAACAGCCTGATCTGATACTGTAAGACTTGTGGTATTGAAATAAGAATACATCTACACAGTGCTGTGAAAGTGAAAACTGCTTTACAATAATTAATCAACTGATCCTCACAATACCCTGAGAGGAAGGTAAGAAAATATTATTGTCCTGAAAAAGCTGAGGTAGAGAGGACAAGGACCACATTTTTAGAAGTGTTGTCTAGGTGTGGGGGCTCAACTTTAAATACAGTAACTCCTCGCTTAACGTTGTAGTTATGTTCCTGAAAAATGTGCCTTTAAGCAAAACGATGTTAAACAAATCCAATTTCCCCATAAGAATTAATGTAAATGGGGGTGGGGGGAGGGGTTAGGTTCCAGGGAAATTTTTTTCACCAGACAAAAGACTATATTTTATTTATATATATATATATATATATTCTATATACACACACACACACAGTATAAGTTTTAAACAAACAATTTAATACTGTACACAGCGATGATGATAGTGAAGCTTGGTTGAGGTGGTGAAGTTAGAGGGTGGAAGAGGGTGGGATATTTCCCAGGGAATGCCTTACTGCTAAATGATGAACTAGCACTCGGCTGAGCCCTCAAGGGTTAACACATTGTTGTTAATGTAGCCTCACACTCTACAAGGCAGCACTAATGGAGGGAGGGGAGACAGCATGGCAGACAGAGACACACACCCTGTGTGTGAGAGAGAGACGCGCATTGCCCCTTTAAGTATGCTGACCCCACTCTCAGTACACTGCCTTTTTAAGTAGATCAGCAAGCTGAGACAGCAGCTGTTGCCAGGAAGCTCCCTCCATCCTGAGTCCTGTCGTGTGTTCCCCCTGCTCTATGGAGATGGGGTAAGTGGGGTGCAGGAGCAGGGGGGACGGGGACACCCTGACATTAGTCTCCCTCATTCCCCCCTCCCCCGGCACAGTAAGCAGGAGCAGCACATGGCAGTGGGGGGAGGGACAGCTGAACTGCCCGGCAATTGATAGCTTGCTGGGTGGCTGCCACACAGGGAACTTAGAGGAGCGGGGAGCTGATAGGGGGGCTGCCAGTCCACCCTGGTTCCAATCCCCCACTAGCTGCAATGGGCTGCTCTTCCTGCAAGCAGTGGACAAAGCAGGCGGCTGCCAAACACCGTTAGAAGGGAGCATTGCGCAACTTTAAACGAGCATGTTCCCTAATTGATCAGCAACGTAACAACGAAACAAGGTTAACCGGGACGACTTTAAGTGAGGAGTTACTGTACTTAGAGCCCTATTTTCACAGGTGCTGAGCACCCTGCCACTGAAGTTAATCATTCCTGAAGATCAGACCACTCATTTAGGTGCCTAAATATGGATTCAAGTGCTTAGCTTTAGGCACCCTACTTTGATCATTTTGGTGCATGTGTCTAAAAAGTTGGGCTTCCCAAAAATAGAGTAAGCCAAAAGAGGGGAAACTTTTTGGACCTTAAGTGACTTGCCTAAATGCCACAGAAGAAGGGTGATCATATTTCTCAAAGAGAAAACAGGACACTGCGAGTGGCTGGCCTGAGACCTACACCTCCTCCCCACCCCAACCCCCGCCCGCAGGGCTGGCCCAAGCTGCTTGCCTGAGCCCCCTTCCTTGCACAGGGGAAGGCAGGGCTTGGGTGAGCAGCGATGCACATACTAGATAGGGTGACCATACTTCCCGAGATCGCTGCTCACCTGAGCCCTGCCTTCCCCCCTGCATGAGGCTGGAGTTGGTGTCGCTGCTCGCCCCAGCCCTGCCTGCCTCCCCCCCTGCGTGGGGCTGCCATTGCCGCTTGATCAGTTTGGCAAGAGCAAATGGAACAAATGCCCACTTTTGCCCAAAAAGTCAGGACAGCCGGGACAGGGCTTAAAAAAAGGGACTGTCTCGGCCAAAACGGGATGTATGGTCACCCTACACAGAAGGAGACAGAGTCGCAACTCTGGACTCCCTGGCTCCCAATCCTGTGCTCGTGAAAGGTGGTGAATGGAAGAGGAATGACACTTACTCCTCCCTTCCTATGCAAACTACAGACAGTCTGAACCATTCAGTCTTGGACTGCAGGAAGTGTCAGATCAGAGAGCTTTTCCTCTGAAGCTAGCTTTGCTTTACCTGCTGATAGCCTGGGCCGGGTTCTTGGTGTCTGCATCTCTTGTCGGGCATGTGGGAGCATGTGATAACGTTTTGCTTCGTTCACTAGATCCCGGCAGGCCTCTGAAGACTTTATCAACTCCTCATTGTCAACAACATTTAGCAGATAACTGGGATGGATGAAGGGGAGGCGGACCACTGCCAGCAACTCCGCAGCATACTGGAGAAAGAACACATGGCAGCCTTAGTGCTTGATTTCAACCATTTGGGGTTTCCTCCTCCCCCATCACAAACACTTCCCCTTATTACCCAACTTGGGAATATATTATACTTTGAGCTGCCCTTAGTACCTGAGCTTTGCTGTACACACTCCTGATTTTCATGGATCCTGCATACACTCCCCAAACCTTCATTATTGTTCAGGTAGCACAAAGACAACACATTCCTTAGCTGCTCCACTCTGAAGGCTTTTTGGGGGGGGGAAAGGGAGGGGTCCCATATGGAGACAAAAACAATCTTCAAAAGCTGACAATTCTTGTTATACAGAGATTTTGTTGTAAAAGCAGATTCTCAACTTATGCTCAATATAACACCTTATGCACAGGAGACAGGCATTAATCTTCCTAGCTTCCTGAATTCACCTTGAAATTTAAGACTGGTTGCTACATTGAAAACAAATGGCTTTTCTAGCATTTTGTGTGTGAAAAAAGCAGATGAGCAGCTGGGGTTTGAATAGCCGCTATGGTGGAGACTAAAAAACACCATCCAATTTGTTAACGATCTTTTAATTAGTAGGATTTATTTGTTGGTGAAACAAATCACGTACTTCAAAGTTTTCCTAGAAATCAGATTCCTGCGGATGCTACGCAAATACTGACACTACACCCCATCTTCTATATAAATAAAATAAACCTTGTAGTGCAAAGGACATTGGAAGAAATGAAGCTGTCTGTCGCTGGTTATTGCTTAAAGGAAAATAAAACCACAAAAGTGAAAATTGCAACTGATAAATGAAGAGTCCATTCACTGAGAACTGATTTTAAATCACTGTTTATCTTACAGCATATCACAGAACACTTCACAGTGAGAGATAGAAGAGTTGGAGAATGCATTTATGGAGCTGGGTATAGGGAACATATCAGGACAATAAGAACTAACTATGGCTGCATATTTAGAAGGACAGTAAAAGAAAGGTGACTATTAAAAGCAACAAAGATGATTGTTATTAGTAAACATTTATATTATCGGAGCACTCAAAGGCCCCAATTGGGATTGGGACCAAGATTCAAGGAAATATTCTTGAAGATTAAGGGGTTGAGCCTGAGAGGCGCTTAACACCCAAAACTTCCACTGAGCTGCAGGTGCTCATTACTTTCTGGAATCCATCTATCTGTTTAGTTGTTTAGACCATGTTCATCACCTTAGTGATGAACAGACTGGACTTCTACATAGAGTGCTTCCATTGACGTGCACGAGCTGAAATTGTGGAAAAGCAGCATCACTTGCCCCATAACCTCAGCCGTGCAGATCACAACGCCATCCACAGCCTCAGAAACAATTCTGACATCATAATAAAAAAGGGCTGACAAAGGAGGTGCTGTAGTCATCATGAATAGGTCAGAATATGAACAAGAGGCTGCTAGACAACTCTCTGACACCACATTCTACAGGCCATTATCCTCTAACCCCACTGAGAATTACCAAAAGAAACTACATCATCTGCTCAAAACACTCCCTAAAGAAGCACAGGAACAAATCTACACTGACACACCCCTAGAGCCCCAACTAGGGGTATTCTACCTGCTACCCAAAATCCATAAACCTGGGAATCCTGGATGCCCCATCATCTCAGGCATTGGCACCCTGACAGCAGGATTATCTGGCTATGTAGACTCTCTCCTCAGACTCTACGCTGCCAGCACTCTCAGACACCACTGACTTCCTGAGGAAACTCAAATCCTTTGATGATCTTCCAGAAAACGCCATCCTAGCCACTATGGATGTAGAAGCGCTTTACACCAACATTCCACACAAAGATGGACTACAAGCCATCAGGAACAGTATCCCCGATACCATCACGGCAAACCTGGTGGCTGAACTTTGTGACTTTGTCCTCACCCACAACTATTTCAGATTTGGGGACAATTTATACCTTCAAGTCAGTGGGACTGCTATGGGTACCCGCATGGCCCCTCAGCATGCCAACATTTTTATGGCTGACTTAGAACAACGCTTCTTCAGCTTTCGTCTCCGTACGCCCCTACTCTACTTGCGCTACATTGATGACGTTTTCATCATCTGGACACATGGGAAGGAGGCCATTGAGGAATTCCACCAAGATTTCAACGATTTCCACCCTACCATCAACCTCAGCCTGGACCAGTCCACAAAAGAGGTCCACTTCCTAGACACTACAGTGCTAATAAGCGATGGTCACATAAACACTACCCTATACCGGAAACCTACTGACCGCTATACTTACCTACATGCCTCCAGCTTTCATCCAGAACACATCACACGATCCATTGTCTACAGCCAAGCTCTAAGATACAACCACATTTGCTCCGATCCCTCAGACAGAGACAAACACCTACAGAATCTCTATCAAGCGTTCTTAAAACTGCAATACCCACCTGGTGAAGTGAAGAAACAGATTGACAGAGCCGGAAGGGTACCGAGAAGTCACCTACTACAAGACAGGCCCCAACAAAGCCTGAAACAAATACTCACCAGCAACTACACACCACACAACAAAAACACCAACCCAGGAACCAAACCCTGCTACAAACCCCGGTGCCAACTCTGTCCACATATCTATTCTAGGGACACCATCAGAGGACCCAACCACATCAGCCACACCATCCGGGGCTTGTTCACCTGCACAGCTACCAATGTGATATATGCCATCATGTGTCAGCAATGCCCCTCTGCCATGTACATTGGCCAAACCGGACAGTCTCTACGCAAAAGAATAAATGGACACAAATCTGACATCAAGAATCATAACATTCAAAAACCAGTAGGAGAACACTTCTCTCTGGTCACTCAATAACAGACCTAAAAGTGGCAATTCTTCAGCAAAAAACCTTCAAAAACAGACTCCAATGTGAAGCTGCAGAACTGGAATTAATTTGCAAACTGGATACCATCAGATTAGGCCTGAATAGAGACTGGGAGTGGTTGGATCATTACGAAACCTAAACTTAATTTCCCCAATCCTAATTTCTCCCTACTGTTACTCACACCTTCTTGTCAACTGTCTGTAATGGGCCATTCTCTTACCACTTCAAAAGTTATTTTTCCTCCCTTGGTATCCTGCTGTTAATTGATTTATCTTGTTAGACTGACCTCACACTTGGTAAAGCAACCCCCATCCTTTCATGTATTTATACTTGCTCCTGTATTTTTCATTTCATGCATCTGATGAAGTAGGTTCTAGCCCATGAAAGCTTATGCCCCCCAGAATTGTTGGTCGCTAAGGTGACACAAGGACTCCTCGTTTTTTTTAGTGTGTGAGTGCCTCTAGTGTCTGGGAATCAGGTGACAGCTGCAGTGGAGGAAGAATGTAGAGATACAGGGATGGAGAAAGGAAAGATGAGTGAGCAGTTGTTGGTTAGAAATATTTCTCAAGTTCTAGTGTGCACAATTGGTTCCACCCTGCTAGGTGATAAGCGATCATACTCATCACAGGAACATCTTCTACCACTTCCCATTTCCCTACAATAAATTTAAAACAGAGGCATCAGTTTGGTAGGACATGCAATTATCTCTTTCCAGTAGGAGTCTGCACTAACCTACCTCCTTAGAGCCATGTCACCGTGATGATATAAACTAAGTTAAAATGAGCATGTGATGTGACTGAAATGGATTCAGTCTGGCAGAGAGAAGAATACAGGTTTTCACAAAATCCAATCACTTCATTTAACAGAGTGTAACAGACATGGAAGTGCTTGGCAGTCTGAAATGTCCAGTTTTCTGAGAAGAGATGAGTGTGTGTTTGCATAACAGTAACACCTCTGAACTTCACAACTATAATAAATAACACAGTAATAACACTTTACACTTCTGAAGCATCTTTTTGTCTGAAGAGCTCAAAATGTTGTGCACACACTAATTATTGTGAGCCTCACAATACGCCAGGAGGCAGGCAGGTTTTACAGATGGGGAAGCCGAGGCAAAATGATTAGAGTGACTTGCCCAATGTCAGAGTGACAGAAAGATGACCAGAAGCAAATGCTGACTATCTTGTTCTAACCGCTAATTCAGGAGACTTCCTTAATACAACATGAGATTTGGGAGATGTATTTGCATAAGGCCAAACACTTCCAGGAAGGACCCTTTGGGTTCAATCCTGAGCGTCACGCTGCTCCACTTGTATCAAGGAAGTGGTATAAAGGGAGTAGAAAACAACAGGGTTTCTCCTTCTGGGGTGGGAGGCGTCCTCAGTGACTATAGAGCCATCTATACCTGGGTCTATGCGACCCATCCTACAGCCTGCAGAATAGGGGGCATGTCAAAGGTGGGGGAGGCATGCAGGAGGTGCGGTCTTAGCAGGCTGCCCTGTAGCAATTCCTATCTGTCTGCTTGGGGGTCAAGGCCACTTGTGTGAGACTACTCTAATCTACATCAAACTCTAGGTTGGCCTCACAGAAGCAGCCCCAGGATCAGGGAGACTCAATGACCTCACTTGTGCCCCTAAATTTTGCCTGGCAGAAGATCAGTTGAGTAGCTGGGCACAGGTAAGAATCTGAGCCCTGCCATCTGCCACTGTTCCATACAGTGAAATAAAAGATGCTTCCGTGACTCTTTCCTCTACTAAAATTTATTGCAGAGGGGGGTGAAAAAAAAGTTCTGCCCTTTCCCTAGAGTCACAAATGTCAGGGACTTGGCTGCAGACATTTTAATGCCATTAAAATGATGCTAACTTGTGGGAGAGGGAACACAGTCGACATATGGCAGTGGGAGGCAAAGCTCCGATTTCAGGAAGTGCCTTTTTTAAGAAGTCTGGGGGCGTTTAACCTTACAGAGGAGCCAAGATGAAATGCAGAATCAGGACACCAGGAATAATGAGGATATTGATGGGGACATCAAAGTTTAGCCAGTGAGTCTCTAATGGGGATGCTAATCTCGTGCTGTAATGAACTAAAAGGAATAGCTAAATAATAGTTGAAGTAATGGAGAAATTGGCATATGCACACATCTACAGCTAAGGCAGGCCAA